CCCAAAGGTCTTTAAGGCTCCGTGATTTTGTCAATGGCAGTTGCTGTTTGAGAAAAGACAATCGCCGGCATGAAAAAAGTGAATATCAGACGGGACCAAGCGGCTCTCATTTTGTTATCAAAACCAACGTATCTCGCCGCAAGAAAACCCATGAAAGCAATAAATATCAATTTGATAATGGAATAGAACGAGATTTTGATCAGCGACAGTGTATCCATCACAATGACTTAATAACTCTTCTATCAACCCTATTCGATTTTATTTCTTACTTAAAATTTTGTTCTATTTTAAGCATTTTTGGATTTATTTTATTGTACAAATACAGAAAAATTTTATCGGCACAGAAAAAAACGACCAGCAAACCATAAAATTGTAGTAAATAATAGTTATGTTTTTTCAAATTGAATTAAAAAACTTTTTAAATGGTTTTTTTTATCTATTTTTATAGTTTGTTAGTTAGTTTTTTAACTTTGTAAATCAAATAAAAATAAAATTCATCTGTTTTGATTGTATTTATAACCATTTCTGGTTTTAATTATTATTAAAACAATGGTTTTCATAATAGTATAATTATAGTTTAAAATAATAATTATTATTTATAAATTTAAAATATTACTATAAATTTATTATTATTTGTTATGGTAATATTTTATTAAAATAACTATACATTATTAGTACCCAATTCAAAAAAAAAATTCCATATTTTTAATTTCACAAACTATAAATAAACTACCACACAATTAATCAAATACATAAGAGACTGATAATACATATCGATAACACAACCATTTCGATGCAGCCCGCATTTCTCAAGTTCAAGTTAGTTTCTTTCTGACACATTCCCATTGTGTTACATACAAATCCATCTCTACACATTCCGCATTGTGGTTCGCATCCTCTTATCCACTTTCTCGTTCCGACATCGAGTGACGTGTTGTCGACTGTGCACTCCGTATTTTCACAATCATAAGTGTTGTCACAACTTTTAAATGTATTATCTAATGGTATAAGTTTAGTATTTAATAGTATTAAAGTATCTCCAATATTTGCCTCATAATTCAAAACGATCGCATTGGCAAAGTCATAGTTTTGTTTGTCGAACGCAGCACGAACAAATATTGTATTGTTTTCATAAAACACCTTCGTAGTCATGTTGTCTACAATTTCAAACACGGCGTTTGGCGTCCCAAGCTTACTGATGTCCGCTATTATAACTGTTTGAACACTCAAATTAACAGGGAGGAAATTGACATTCGCTTCGAACATAATTTCTTTTGATTCTTGGCAAAGGAGCGACGCAGTTGGATTTACTATAAATATACTAGTTTTAGAATTATTACTAATAGTAGTGAAAGTCAAGTTTTTATTGTTCATCATATGAGGGACGTTGTTGTACACAGAGTAAAAGTACCACATGAGAAATGGCATTTTTGTTGAGTTGTCGTTGACGTCTGAGATTTGATTATTTCGTTGGAACGAGCAATCACTCATTTTGAGATTTTTGAAGAATGATGTCGCAGAAATATGGAAATTTTTTTGGAAATTTTGAAAATTAGTTTTTGGGAAAGTCACACTATCCCCATTGATGTTTATAGCGCGGAGATGTGAATGATTGAAAAAAGAAGGTAGTAAGAATAAGTCATCTTCGTTTTTAAAGTAGAGTATAGTTCCGGCTTGGAGGTATTCGATTGGCCGATGTCCATCATAGATTTGAAACATAGAAAAATTATTAGATCTCTCGATTGTGTATAGAGATGGAGGGATATTAAGAGTATAGTCATGCACAGCAGCTGTGGCGTAAGAGTAACTATAGTTGATGAACCACATTCCGCCGGTGAGGATCGTAAATAAGTTTTTCTTAAGTGTTAGTATCTTTTTATTAACATTAAATGGTACATTTTGATAGATAGGATTAATAGTTCCAACAACCATACAATAAACTATTTTATGACTTGGACCCGTTAATTGGAGCCATTCCCCACATCGACTGATCTTTTTATTTTGTTTTTGAATATACATCTGGTCGGGATGGACATAACAGATTGAATTGATTTGAAAAGCTTTGATTAACGTTTTGTAATTTGGAATGTGTGAATAACAATTAAATGAAATGTTATATGATAACTCAGAAGAATCCATATTTAATATTAAAAATTCTGTGGAACATAAACTATGTATTTTTTGAGTCTCGTTTATTGAATTAAAATATATTGAATCTAAAGAATCTATACCTTTTTTATCTACTCTTGTAAACTTCTGAGGTTTAGAAATCTTTCTTACTGCCTTGCTTTGTACAGGGGAAAGTAAGAGAAGCAAAGTTAATATCAAGAAATGACGAAACAACTTATTGAAAGTCATGATTGAATATTTGGTGTTTGATTCAATATATAGATAATACTGGCTTTTTATATTTAACAATACACCCATTTTTATATTTTTATTCACAAACATATTAACAATTAAATCAAAAAAAAATATTATTGAAAGTCTTTGTTTTCAAAGCTTTTTATTGGAATACAAATTTATTTTTTTATATTATTTTATTCGATAATAAAAAATTAAACTCTGATAAAACGTATATTTGGTTTGCTTGAGTTAAATAAATTGAGAAGTATTGTTATAGAGATTTTACATTTTTTATTATGAAATAATACCTAATAATATATTAAATAAACTTAAATTAATTAAATCAAAACCAGATTATTTTAAATATTAAAAACAACAAAATTTTTTTTTATGTTTCAATAAAAATGTATGATTATTATAAAAAAACTTTTTAATTTAATAACATAAATCCAAAATCAATTTTTGAAAGGAGATAATACATATACTTGTATTGGATGTACAAGTTTAATATATTAAAATATGACAGTCTATTTTTCATTCACATAATGATAACAAAAGAATAATTTTATTTTTTAACTGAACAGATTTAATTTCTATTTTATTTTACATTATTTGGTTGTTGAAATTTTGTTTCAAAGAGACAAAAACACTTCAAATTTAAAAAGTGAAACTTTGAATTCGCTTTTGAAAATGTTAATGAAGACAGAGTAATTGTATCAACATTAAATATTTTCAATTTTTTTATCAGAGAATTAAAATGTTTAAAAGGTATTATTAAATGTATGTTAGGTTTTAATTTCAATAGAATTTACATTCATTTTTATACCCATATTTTGTGAAATAAAATTGTTATTGTTAGAAAAAATAAATAAATTGATCAGTCTTATTTAATTACAACTTTTTAAATTTTAAAATAACAACAAAAACTTGATGAGTTTATTAATTGATGTAAACAACAATCTCGCTTTTAATAAACTTAATATCCAAATTTTAAATTCATATTCTTTAAATGTATTTAAATCAAAACAATAAAAAACAAACATTGATTTGTTATTGAAAAAACTGAACATTAATTATTTAAGTTGTTTATTTTTAATAATTAACAATTGACAATAAAGAATGTTTAATATTTTTATTATGTTACCATTGTAAATCTCTATCAATTTTTTATATAAACAATTATTATTGATTGAAAATATCTTCTAAAATAAAATCAATCAAATCATCATACTCAAACATTACTTTTCAATTTTAAACTTTTTTTGTTAATTTCAAAAAATTAAATATATCACAAGAACAAAATTATTATTATTAGCTGTTTGCAACATTTTTACAAATTTTAATTTTTGGCGAATTATAAAAAAGTGAAAGTTTGCCAAATAATAATTGTTGTAAAAAAACTATTATTTTTAGTCAACTTGAATTATAAATATTGATTCCCTTATCTGTATATTATGATATTTTTTAATTCATATTTTTTTGTTGTATTACATTCATACATATCAAATATACACAAAAATACAAAAAAATATCAACAATTTTTTTAACAACAATTGTTATGTTTTATCTTGTTTTAAGGTGGGAAATAGTGAAAGTTTTTTGACAAATATTGAGACATATATATTACGTTGTGTATTGTCGTGTGAAAACTTGATTGAGAATAAAAACAATGATATGTTAGAATTGTGAAACATGTTTTATAAAGAACACAACAAGTATGAAAATATCTTTTGATTATTTTTCATCAAGATCAAAAAAAATAAAATTTGTATAGTTCATTTTTATGGCTAAATAATTATTAAATAATAGCATTTCTTCATTTTTTAATTGATTTAAATAGTTGTTTTTTAATTCATATTTAATTAAAATAATAATTAATTTTATAGTAAGTACATAGTTCGGCAAATTTTTTACTTTTTAAATGTTTGGCAAAATGATATAAATTGTTTATAATATTATTTAATTTTATAATATTTATAAAACAATTCAAAAGTATTATAAAAAACATGAATTTTTTGTTGCACTTTGTACATAAGTTCAATTATTGTATATTACTTTTTGTTAATTCTTATTAAAAATTGATAGTTTTTAAATATAAATAGTTGATAAATAGAAAACAAGATTCATAATTATCTATTAAAAATTAACACTTATAACTTAAATTAATAAAGATTTGTTTTACCAATGAAATACATGTTATTAATTATGTTGGTCTTTACAACGA